GCTCCTTCACCCTGCTTCCCTCATCTACATCGCCAAACCGGAAGTCCCAAAACTCCACTTTCTTAATAGCAAACAAGCATCTATAGTTTAAAGTCGAAACATTTCTGGAGAAAGATCAAAGCTAAAAGCAGCTGGTGTGGCCGGCGAAAGCTGTCTGTTTGGAAGTGAATAATCACACACATATTAAAAAGAGCTTTGTGAGGCTAAATTTAAACAGGTTGTTTTGGTGCTCTTTTTCTGCTTGGCGTTTTAGTCACATTCGTGTAGGGAAAGTCCACAGTGATCAGGCCCAGTTCAAAAACAACCCAGAAAGAAAAAGCATTTTTCTTTGTGTAATAATGCAAATGGTTAAAGCTGATTCGGGTCGTTTGTGGACCTTTTTTTAATGCAACTTATCCATCAGCTGTCAGCGGCTCGTTGAACATGTCATGTTTGTCGTGTTTGTGGCTTTTAACCACCCGTCCATACATCCACAGAGAGATGACGGCGTAGGTGGAAGCTTCCCCCCAAGAGCACGCAGGCATCAAGCGTTTAATTAAGAGCTCTGCGTGTCGTTTTACGCCTCGGAGCGGGCGGCTCGCACAAAAAGGGACAAAAAAGGGACAAATCTGCCTTTTTGTGCCGAGTGAAAAGCAAAAAACCCACACCGTCACAAAGGCCGCGGCGTGCCTGTCTGTGATGGGGGCGCCAAGCAGCGGAGACGGAGAGGAAGAGGAGGACAAAAAGAGGAACAAAGCGGCGGGTGTAAAAACCCAGAGCTGCACAACAGGAGATAAAGGAACGAAAAGCACAGAGGATAAAAGTCTCAATTAGGGGGCGGTGCTGGGAGGATCGTACCTTGAGTGCAATCGCATGCTCCTTTCAGGGCCTTCTCATCCTGAGTGTAATCTGGAAGAGAAGAATCTTTAAAGCTCACAATCAAGCATTTGCAAAAAGTCATTGGAAGAGCTTTTTCTCTTCCCCTGTGGTCAGAGACTAGTCCTCACCCGCGCTGACCACCGCCATGCTCTGCATGTCTCCGAGGAGCCGGACGACGGCGGGGTCATCCCGGGAGTAGAGCGCATAGCGGTTTATTCCCACGTGGAACTTCAGCCAGCTGGCGTCGCGGTCGTAAATCATTTTGTGCTTTGTGACGGTCACGTTGGCCACGGCCGCCGCCTCGCTGTAGAGTTTCATGTGCCTGGGGAACGAGACACAGAACAGAAGCCCAGCTCAATGCAAAGATCCCCCAGAGTCTCCGGTTAGATGTGGGAGAAGGTAGTTGACAATGAGATGTACACCACACGTTTCTCTGCGGCGTAGTTTACAAGGCATACATCGATCTGGAGGTGTATTTACAGCTGAGTCTGTACAGGCTCTAGCGGAAAACCAGGTCAAACTGGTTTTTCAGGAAGCTTTGATGAGGAAACAATTTCCAAGCAAAGCTTTGAGTGGACGCAGAGGAGTGCTGGTTATGCTGGGTTACTGCTGGTCAGGGTGCAGGTGTTCACGGCTCCCCGGGGAGAACTCGGCAGAGCCAGCAGCAGAAAATGAAGACACGGGTTAAGCTAATAGCTACTCGGAAGGGGAATTTTTATCGTCGGACCGATCAAGTCCAATCAAACCGGTTTATTGCCCATTTCAAATAGATGTTGACACATTCTGATCATCAGGAATCAGTGAGGGCATCAGATTTGTTGGACAACATACTGTTTTTAAGAAATAGCAACCTATCGTCTTTTAGATTGATTTTCTACCGTCTAACCGATGGTACTTTGAGGAATTAAGTGGCAGGAACTATGAGTTCATTGGAAGTGTAAAGAGAGATATGGTCTTATAAGGGTAATAAAGCAGTTACAAAGAAAAATGCTTCATCAGGTAAAACTGATGCAGCATAAGAATGAACGTATATATGATGTTAATTGCGAGTTTCCGAGTTCTTTTAGATAGTGGAATTGCTCGTGCCTCCTTTCTCTGTAAGCTCTCACATAGAATTTATTCCCTGAATTTTATAAATAAGATCAGTCTGGCTGGAAAAAGTCCTTCAGCTAACAAAGAAACATTAGAGAAAAGAGCAAAAAACAAAAACGAAAAAAAAAGAAGTGCCTTTTAGGATGCTTTTCTATACTTAGCACACTTAAAGCCTTTTATTGACTGTACTACCCAGGCTATTTTACGACTTGTTTTATCGCCCACTTTACAGATGCTATTCCATTTAAGGTCTCTGGATTGCTTTTGAAGACAAAAAAAACGAGTTGTAATAAATTTGACATTTTTTCGGTCTGTTTTCGAGTCTTCTGGCGTTTGAGCAACAGGCAGGAGCCACCGGACGCCAAGCAGAAAAGAAAGTCTGCGGCAAATGTGGCAGCTCACGGTCAAAGCTGACCACACTGAGTGGGACGGTCAAACAAACTCCGTGGCGCGCTGGTTAACAAGCTGAGATAATGGAGAGAAAAAAGGGGCTAAAAATAAAAGTTTGTTTGCCAGTCGGTCCAGCAACTGGGGGTTTCTTAGCAACCTAACCTGACCAATCTGGGTAATCAGGGTCCTGTACAAGTGCAGACCGCAGCGTGGGGAACGGCAGAGTGGCTTTTGCATTCTCTGCTGAGATGCTGTTGCAACAGTTTG